TAAGCTCGGGGAGAGGACACAGGACCGCATGAGAACGGACGGACCGTTAAATACGCCCACAGGGGCTCTCCGAATGGGACGGAACGAAGTCTATATTGCGCATGCAGGACTCCGCTTGACTTTGTAGGGTCGGATTACGCGGTACGTTGCTTCGGCAACAGAAAAAGGTGATACCGCAGGTCTTGTGCCTATGTTTCTCACCTCGCCGCACATCGGCCGTGGGGCACGGGAACAGTACGGTGGTTCTTCCTGTTCACATCGCACAGTACACTGGGTGCTGGGTGAATAAGGCGGCTTCGTTCAGATAGCGGAGAAGGTTCAAACGTTCACGGCTGGGGGAATAATCGCCTGTGAGTTCCATCCCAAAGCGCGAAGAAGACGGAAAGTGGGCCCGTACCTTGCGACTCCGAGCTCAGATCCGGGAGAAACATTGCCGTGCAGTGCCTCCCGCAGTTAGCCAAGCTCGACAATCATAGGTACTTACATACGCGGTTGACGTGAGGCTTGAGCCCGCTGAGACTTCGGGGCCGGATCATCCTAGGAAACTGTTGACAACGACTACATAGAACACTGAGCGTCGTATGAGATTGCACGTAGGTCGATCCACAAGTACTTCGGTTATAGTAACACCAGCCAGAAATGTATGTGGCGCCAGCACCGCGCTCTATCGTATGTACGGAGAACTCAACACGATCTATGGGACCTACACAGCGAAGTGCGTGACCAACCGAGAACCAAGGCAAACACAGATTGCACAGTCCATCGAGAGATACAACAACAGACAAGAGAAAGCAGGGAGCCCTGCCATCTAAGATGCAGAAGAGATGCTGATATATGACAGAAGACAAAGATGAAGATATATGTACGAAGACGGATGCATGATGTGGAAGAGGGAGAGCGCGAATGCTAGCAGCTAGGACGATAGCGATGGATGTTTCACGCACGCTGCAGCCAACCGACATCCAGGCCGGTCATGGTACGCATATTGTCGGGGTACGCAGTGTTGCTCTCCTTGAGCAGTCCACCGATGCGGCGGCATATTCCCCGTGGGTAGTAGAGATGTTCGGCCTGCGGGAAGCCTGGGTATCGCTTCAACAACCTTTGGGAACTCTATCAGCCGTCAGGTCCGCACCAGGGGACATGATCAGACGTACGATGTCAAATCGGAGTAGGCTGCGGCGGTATCTAGAATCTTGAATAGCACCTTCGCTGCCCGAATAGTCCCACTCTTTGGTATCACGTATTGAGTTGGGACTGTGTACGATAGGCGCATGCTGGGCTTGAATAACCAAACCTAGATGGGGCTTAAGCGGAAGTCGTGACGCAACAACGATTCATCGCTTACAAGGATACGAGGTCGCTCTTCCTCTTCGTCGAAGATCACGAATCGATATGTAGCATGTGCATGCACGAATTCATTCATGTCCTCTGCGATGAACGCAGAAAGGGGCAGCCTCAACGGTCTGACCGATACACAGGTTGTCAGTACAGTCGCAAACGGTTACTGAAAAGTACTCACTCAGGGTTAGCACTCATTGGACGCACGGCGTACTTGGCGAGGCGATATATCATAGTATCCGGCGAAGAAGGCCGTTCTTGACAGCGGCCCACGATGGCTCCGCAAATGCACCGGGTCCGTCGCCACCCATCCTCAGGCTGCCAGATACAGCGAGTCAGTACACGAACAGGTAGAAGACAGAGTAACGGAAACAAAGAAAAGAAAAACAGATAGAAAATAAAAAGAAAGATGTGCCCTCGCATGTAGCTCCCGCGACAGTGTTCTCGGCAACACGAGAGTTGTTAAGCAAGTGACTGGAGCGGCTTAGCGCACGCCCCATCGCTCTTGGACGCATTGTATCAGCCAAAGGAGATATCCCCTGTCGCCGCCTCGCAAGCCAGCAACAACGCTGTGCACCACATCAGAACCTGCTAGGGCTCCGAAGGGCGCCACGACGCCGCGCTGACAGGCAAGAACGACGACCACTGGTAGCAGATGCCAGCGACGGCCTTCTCTTCGTCCGGATTCTATGCTATCGGGAAGCTAAGTGGAAGGGTGGAAACTCACCTTGTGATCTTCATGGGTTGCCGGCCATAGGTTGCTCTGCACGACCGCCGACTCCTCGAACAGGATGTAGCTGCCTCCTACGAGCGCTTCGCCCTCGGACGGCCAGAACCCATCGCGCGTGTGCTTCTGAACGTGATCGTGCAGGCGCTGGTCAGAATGGCACATCCACGCGTCGACCAACTCAGCCCAGTGTTCGGACGGTAAGTCGCGATACTCGCGCAGACGAGACGCCTGGACCAGAGGCAGAGAGCACGACGCGCAGACGAAGCTTGTCGGGAGGGACGAGGAGAGTTGTGTCGCGTCGAGCAGGGCGGGGGACGCATCGACAGGCGAGGGGGGCGGAGCAGTCACAGGAAGCTTGATTTCGTGATATTGACCCATAACCTTCACCTCTTTGACACCTGGCGACGCGGGTGCGGGCAATGCAAGAAGCGGAGAGGTTGATGCACCGCACTTGAGTAGGAGTCTACTGCGTTCCTCCGCCGAAGAGTCAGACGCGGGTACGACTTCCGCTTCCAGGTTGGCCCCAGGAATCAATCCTTGAACGTTCATGAACACGAGGACATGCTGCAGGGTTTCGTGGTACTCGGCGACGTAATGCACGTCAAGTCCCGCTACATAAGATCAATCAGGATTATGACAGACTGGCAATTGTGAAGGAGAGACCAACCTTGCCAATGTGGCGTGGTGATGCCGCTTGACGAACCGGGCCTCTTCGACCGACTCAGCCTCGACTTCTTTGTCTCCTTCACCTCCTTGCCTTCCGGCGGCGTACTAGGAGACGTAGCACGCGGAGATGAAGAGGACGAGGAAGGTAGAAGCCACGCTAGCGGTGGTGCAGACATGCTCCTACTACGCATGCCTTTAAACGACTTCTTTCGCGGTATCGGTGGCGGACGTGGAGTAGGCTGACTTAGATGGTCCGGGAGAGGCTCGCGCACGAACTCGGGAAGGCTTAGCAAGGCCTTCGAGTCGTCCATCTGCATCTTGAGCTGGACAGATTCAGGTACGCCTTCGCGGATGAACTCCGGTAAGCTGAGCATGGCTTCGGGGTCTTTGGTTCTGCTCTTCTGCAGCACCGCGTCCTGCGAATGCAATCGGCCGGCATCGGAATGTCGCGCGAGACGAGTGACGAATGCGTCGCGCTACAAGGTAAAAGTTAGCTCACGTTGCTTCGAATGGGTGCAAATTTCACAACACTACCTTCTCTTGATCGCGTCTCTGTGCCTGTTCGAGCTTGGCCCGCATCCCGCCGTCGAGCACCACGGCCTGATCGACAAGCTTTCGTTCGGACGCTCTGCCAATCAGCTCGACCATCTTCTCGAACTCGCCCGCGTCCGCTCGCTCCTTCCCAGGTCTAACCCTGATCTTCTCCTTCTCCTTCGACGGCCCCGCCAGGCTAGCACGCTCCAGCTGCTCGCGCTTACTCTTTTTGAGCTCGACGCGTTGATCGTGCAGCTGCGGGGCGACCAGATACAGCCGGTCAATTGCAAGCGCGACCGCCTCGAGGTCCATGCGCATCTTCTCACTCACACCGCCTACCGCGGTCGTGGCGGAGGATGGCTCGCGGTCGCGTGACCTGACATGGTCGCTCTTCGCTTTGTCTGCAGCCAGCCCACCGTGGTGGTCGCCCGCCTCATAAACGGGCAGCTCCGCGTCAGAGCCCCACGGCCCCGTATATTCACCTTCATCATACTCTGGTGGCAGATGATCTGAATCTGCATCCACATCAGGTGGTCGCTCCGAACAAAGTTCCAAGATACGTTCGAACTCTTGATCGACACGCGTCCACAAGAGTGCGGTCTCGATTTCCTGTACTGGTGGGCGATTTGGGCGTGCATCGATCGAGTCGCGGGCATCCCGCTCGAGTTGCAAATCGCTTAGCTGCCTCTGGAGCGTCACGAGTGGGTCTCCGGCAAGGGAATGTTGTAGAGTGTCAGCGGGGCTTGCGCTCCAGGAGGCTGTTCGGGGCGCTGCCGTCGTTTTTGGTCGTGGCGGTTTCGGGTGCAGTTCGGCGAGCCTCTGGAAGTGGGCTACAAGAGAGACAAGAGACTGTGCGAGGGTGCCATCGTGCGGCGATAGTTGGGTCGCAGCAAGTCTCCCAATGCGCTTCTCGAGCTCCCGAACGAGCGAGGCTTCGTCGGTGAGATCGGACGTGAGACATTCTGTCATGTTCTCCGGCTCTTGTGCACGCAGGTTGAGAACCAGAGTTTGGAGAGGGGCTGTGGGAGCAGAGGACGATGCGGACGACGACGACGCGGCATTAGCATACAGTGCGGGCAGGGCGGAGAGGGCGAGGGGAGACCGTGGAGAAGGCATGGAATGCCTGCGGTCAGGGATGATGGGACGCCAATTCGACGACGTGGAGAGAAGATCGTTCAACGTCGTGAGACATGAACGCTGTACGTTGACGATGGAAGAGATGAGCTCGTCCTGGGGTGGGGTCAGCAATGAGTACACGGAGCTGGAGGACGAGTACCAGGACTGACTGAAGCTGCACTTTCAACTTGCACATCCTCTCCAGCCGCTCGATCCTGCAAGGATGTTGCAGGCTCGACGGGAGCCGCAGTACAACTAGACTGTTCCTCACGACGCGTTTCTCTAGCTGACTGGGCTTCTGGCCGAACCTGGTCAACTTGTCGGGGGAGCCTCGGGAAAGGCGTAGGAATGTCAAGACTGAGCGGATGTCGTGGATCAGAGTCACAGGCCTGCGTAGCTACACGAGGGCGTGTCAGGGTTGCCATAAATGAGGGTAAGGAGAGTGGGTGAAAGAGGGGAAAGTCGGGAAGGAGGAGGAGGGGAAGAGGATGAGGACAGGGAGCCTTTTAGTACGACTCAACAAGCTTGCAGAACCTGGGGATCGCCATTTCATGGACTGCCACAGATAAGTGGGCTTTCCAACGCATATGGCTGTACAAACTGGGCTAAGTTACATGGCCGCCTGGCGTAATGGCAACGCGTCTGACTACGATTCCGTCCAAAAACTCGGGGTATCACGTAATCAGGAGATTGCAGGTTCGACCCCTGCGGTGGTCAATCTGTTTTACTCTTTTCGTTGTCTTCTATATCAATCGTCGGGAAGTCTACAGCGAACTGACCGCTCACGATGTTTCTGGCTGCAAATCCGGACCTTGTACTCCGCATGAATTGGTGTGATGAAGCCCATTGCGTGTCCTGCCTCCTTTGTAGTATCAAGAGTCGGCCCAAGCATATCCATTACGATGACGTGGTGGTTTGCTTCCCGGAGTAGTGGACAGAAGGGAAGCCAGATGTTCTGTCCGGGATGAGCTTGTAGACGATCATCTCATATTGCAGGCTCGTTGCCACAGTGGATTCTTTCGTATTACGTGGCGTGAACTTGATCACCACGTCTTTCCCTGTGGGCGTATTGAACGCTCTCACGACGTCCCCCTGTCGATGTAGCGTGAATCTGAGTCCTTGCGAAGAGTAAGAGAAGACTACTAGACAGTGAACGAACGCCCCGGAGGATCCTTTGCCAAGGTGGTGCGTGACTTGGTATATACCACATATGTTGTAGGAGCGTATGTAGGCGGTTGGGTCCATACTCTTTGACAGACAGTCGGCTGGCTGCCAAATCTTGTTCTCGCGCGTACTATATGCAAATCGTCGTTTGAACACTGAGCCCGCAGGGTTACGGTGGTGCGTTCCTTGAGCCCGCTTGGGCGATCAACCTCAATGACCGTAGCGGCCCGGGATGATTCCCTGGCATCAAGCGTGCTCTCCTGGTGGATGTCAATCCCAGCGCCGGTATAATCCCGCTTGTGTTTCTCGCAAATACTATGCTCATAACAGCGACCCGCGACAGGGAAAAGATGAAGGTAGATATATGTGCACACTGCGCATGCAAGAGTCGGAGTTTTTTGTATATGCTCGGAAGGTATGCCAGTGGCATCTCGGAAGACTACAAATAATATGCTAGATCTCGGGTTGCTCGTATGACCGACCTGGATTCCCTACTGGGAGATTGGACGGGGAGCAACAGTACTCGTGCTGAATTAGGGGGTTCCGGTGTGCGGCAAATCGATGGTACAACTGTCAACATATATACACGACGCATGCATGGTATGCCAGCCTGACAAGAGGGATCGAGAATAACATTAGATAGTAGTACGACGACGACGACGACGGAAGACGACTTTCGTGCCCATGTAGTAGTAGCTAGTTCTGCTGAGATCTTGGAAGTTCAATGCCAATGTCACACACGCCCTCGAGCTCTCCCACCAGGACCTCAGGCCTCAGGTCTGAGTCTCTACCCGAACCAAACACAGCCCCCGGCCCACCCTGTAGCGTAACCCATCATGCATCCCGACCGAACACCAACGCGAACCGCGAACAAACCGACGGACGAACAACGAAGAGAGAAGGAAAAGAGAGAAAGAGAGAGAGAGAGATGTGTGAGAGGGGCTCCGTGTAACCAACCAACCAACCAACCAACCGACCGACCAATCGACGTTCCATAGACTGTGCTCCGCGTGCGCTTCAACGCTTCTTCTTCTTCTTCACCTTCTTCTTCGACTATGGCTGTTCATCCGAGGACGGCACGCACAGGATCCGAGTCCGCACGATGCAGCGCCCCACGCTCGACCGCGCCCGACCCCGAACTCGCATTCGTCTCCGCCGAGTACGCACGGGGCTTCCCCTGTCCATGCCCATGCCCATACCCGTGGCCGTGGCCGTTCCCATTCGCATGCCCATTAACAGCAGCGGCAGCGACAGACGGCCCGAGCGCATCCTCGACCGCGCCCTCCGACGAGTCCGTGCGCCACGACGTCCCCGCGGACGTCCCCGTCCCACTCGTCCCCGTCGTCCCAGCGGTCCCAGTCGTGGTCGCCGTGCCGTCGCTCGCGTTCGGGCTCTCCTTCGTCGCGCCCTGCGTGCCCCGCCCGACGACCGGGTTCGTGTTCGCACTGCCCCCGCTCGAGCTGTCGTCCCGCAGGATCTCGTTCGCGAGCCCGCTCGTGCGCTGCGTCCCGCCTTCCGCATGCGACGGCTGGTGTTGCTGGGGCGGCGGCGGCATCCACGGGAAGTAGCCCGCAGGCTCCGCGGGCACAGGAGGGAAGTACCCATCCGGCGGACGGCCTTCCTGGTCGCCCTGTTGTGACTCCCCAGGCTGCTGCTGTGCCTGCTGTTGTTGCTGTTGTTGCTGTTGTTGCTGGTGGGGATACGCGTAGTACCCAGGCCGGACAGGTGCCCCCACCGCGGGGTTGATGAACGGGTTCGCGCCCGTCCCCGGGCGTCCCCAGAACGCGCCAGGGGACATCGTCACCCCAGGCGAGAACGGCGAGAACGGGGTCATAACATGCTGCATATGCCCATGCATCGTCGGGCGCTCGCCTCCATGGCCCGCCGCGCCCCCCTGCCCGTCGACCGCCGCAGGCGACGCAGGGAGCCCGGGCGAGGGCTGCGGGAGGAACGTGAAGGAGGGCATGCTCGGCGTGATGGGCGGCAGCCCGTGCGGGGTCATCATCGGCATCGACATGCCCATCAGCGGGTGGTGCATCGGGCTCATCGGGTGCCCCGCCATGTGCGGCGACATCGCCATGTACTGCGGCGAGAGCGTGTGCGGGGGCGGCACCGGGAACGCCGTCACGGGCGGCGGGGGCGGGAGCGCGATCGGCCCCGGGTGCGCAGGGTGGTGGTGGTGATGGTGGTGGTGTTGCGGGTGGTGGGGAGTTTGGTGCTGCTGCTGAGGCGTCGCGTGTGATCGTGAAGACGAGGTGGGGGATGTCGCCTGGGCCTGCGAGGACGACTGCCCAGATACAGACGTCGTCGAGAGCGAAGGCGGGGTAGTCGAGTTCGAGCCGGAGCCCGGGGTATTTTGTGTCTTTGAGCTGTCCCTTCTATGCTGCTTCTGCGCTAATGACGCAGCCGCAGTGGTATCCGCGCTCGCCGTCGCTGTGCTGAACGTCGGGGAGGCCGCGGACGAAGCGCCTAACGCGGCCGCATCGTCCCTCTGGAGGTGCTGCTGTTGAGCGTCCGCTTGCTGCAGCGCCGATGGCTGGTGCGTCTGGTAAAACGCATGCGGCTGCTCGCTCTGCATCATATACGTCGCCCCATCCATCATACCGCCACCCATGCTCATCGCCATGTTCATCCGCTGGTACGTCCCGAGGTCGTACACATCGTACGGCGTCGTCGGTCCCGAGTGCAAGAAGTCGAAGGTATACGGAGATTGTATCGCAGGCGGTATCGGTATATGCGTCGGAGGTTGTTGCTGTTGCTGAAGTTGCTGCTGGTGTTGCTGCTGGTGTGGTTGCGAGCTCTGCCGACCAAACGGTGACGCCTGCTGCTGCTGTTGTTGCTGCGAAGTAGGCGAATGAGGCTGCACCGGCGACGCAAGCGACAACTTCTGCGCCAGCTGCTGCGCCAAAGCCTCTTGTTCGGCACTCTCATCCAGCGCACCCCCCGCCCCAGTGCCGAACCCAAGCATCTGCCCGCTCGGCCTCCTCGAAGCCGCGAGCGACGCCGGGGTCGCCCCGCGCCCATGCTCGAGCTGCTGCTGCAGAAGCTGCTGCGCGAGCGACGACGAGCGGGACAGCGTTGGTTGGGGATGGTGCTGCCCGTACAGCCCGCCGCCCACCGGGGAGCCGAGAGAGTGTGTCGGGGTGTGCGAGAACGCGAAGCTTGCGGGGGAGTGCGGCGACGAGACCGCGCCGGGCCCGACGAGCGGGGCGGAGGAGCTCGACGGCGCGGCGAACTTGTCAAAGTGCACTTTGAGCGGACGGCCGTTGTATTCGAATCTATTGCGAAAACATAGCACGTCAGTGATGGTTATCTCTATGAGGACCGTAATATTTCGACGGAGCGGTGAAGCGGTTATGAAGTCTGCACGTGGGTGAGAGAGCGACGGCGGAACGAGGCGTTCGCTGAGTGCACCCCAACGGACGAGGAAATGCCATTTCCTGATCAGTCCCATCTCTTACACGACCACACGGACCGGCCTAGACCACTCCCTGTGACGTCGACGTGGATCTGTCGTACACAAAAAGCCTCGAATACGGCTGTATGGGACGGAGTCCACTCTTTTACCCTCGACGACCCAAGTCGGAGGCTGGCTTCCCATAACCATCCCAGCCACGAACGACCAGCCACGAACCATGAAACCAACAAATCCCAGATAAAATACACCAAGCAAACACTCACCCGTTGAACATCCGCACCGCCCTCTCCGCATCCGCCTCGTTCGCAAAGCTCACCGTGCCAAACCCGCGCGAGCGCCCGTCCGCGCCCAGCGCCACGTCCGCGCGCTGCACCGCGCCCGCCTGCCGGAACAGGTCCTTCAGGTCCTGCCACTGGATGTGGAACGGCAGCTGTCCGTCCCAAAACCCATCACCCACAGCATACAAACCCCCGCAGCAACGTCAGCGCAGTGTCGAACGGGATGGATGGAAAGAGAGACGTACGTTCCCAACGAACAGATTCCTGCTCGCTTGCGCCGTCGTACCCGGGCGGGACGTCGACCCCGCTGCGTCCGCGTCTTCGCCCGCCAAGCCCGCGTTCGCAGCGAACGGCGACAGGCCCGGAAACCGTGGTATTGACGGTGCGGGCGACGCGAGCGCCGATCCTCCTCCAGCGGCAGCAGCAGCCCCCGCGGCAACAGCAGCAGGCGAGCCCGCTCCGCTGAGCGCAGCCCCTGGGGCAGGCGACGACAAGCCCGGCACAAGCGGGGTGCCAAACACGCCCATATTCCCCGCACCCGCGCCGTACCCGCCCAGCGCACCCAACGCGCCGACACCCACGCCAACGCCGACGCCGCCCAAGCCCATCGCCCCGAGCCCGCCCATCGCGCCGACCCCGTACGGGGCGGCCGCAGCGTTCGCGCCGGGGGCGTTGAGCTCCTCGCCCATGCGGTCCGGGCGGACTTCGAGCGTGCGCGTCTGCCAGGTGTACCCGTTGAACATGTCGACCGCGCGCCCGGCGTCCTCGGCGGTCGCGAGCAGGACGGTGCCGTACCCGCGCGAGCGGTTGTCGGGCCCGAGCGAGACGTCCGCGCGGAGGACGGTGCCGGCGCGCCG